GGAGGTAGGGGGCAGGAGCAGGGTCCTGGTGGGGCCTGGAGCAGAGGGCAGGTGGGGCCCTGGGCAGTGTACTCATGGGCATCTGGGCAGGGAGGGCATTATACTCGTGGGGTCTGGGCAGGGGAGGCAGGGTACTTGTGGGGATTTGGGGTCTGCACAGGGGGGCCGGGGATGGGGGTTTGGACAAGGGGAGAGGACAGCTAAGCTGGTACCTGGGGGTCCGCAGCCAGGTCCAGGGTCTCAGAAAGCAGGTGTGCCGTGCCACTTGTTCCCTGAGCTGCTTCCTGACTTTGAACTAGCAGCTGTTTGCAATTCTGCCCCCATTCAAGCCATCAATGATTATTCAAGGAGCCAAGCTCTGTGGCCCCTATTGTCTGTGGGAAATTAGCACCTTTTCTAAGTCAGCTCCAAATTAGCACCTTTTCGCCAGGTCCAGGGTCTCAGAAAGCAGGTGTGCCGTGCCACTTGTTCCCTGAGCTGCTTCCTGACTTTGAACTAGCAGCTGTTTGCAATTCTGCCCCCATTCAAGCCATCAATGATTATTCAAGGAGCCAAGCTCTGTGGCCCCTATTGTCTGTGGGAAATTAGCACCTTTTCTAAGTCAGCTCCAAATTAGCACCTTTTCAAAGTGACTCTGAGGGTTGTCTGTAGCCTCAGGAGGAGGAAGGGAGACAGACCTGGGGAAGCCACCACTCAAAACAAACAGTTAAAGATGAACTTTGGGTGAGGTAACACCAGTGCGGGCTCTTTCTGGGGGGGAGCTGGGTCACCTCGTGCCCCCCCCTGGAATTTCTTCACCATGCCCCCCAGTTTGGGAACCTATGCAGTCTAGCTAGTTTTCTCACGACACGATCTGTACTAGGAAATTTTGCTGTTTTCAACTATCCTGGAGTTGCTAAGCGCTGCAATCCATCAGCATGGAAGCAACTCACAGACTCAGACTTTAAGGTCAGAAGGAAGCATTGTGATCATCCAGTCCAGGGGCAGGCAGGGATGGAGCCTCAGCTAGTGCGTGAAGTACCCCTCCTCCCCTTGGGCTCACAGCCTTCAAAGAGGTACACATGGCCCCTGCAGCCGGCTGTTCTAAGTGGCCTTCGGAGGCATGGAAGGCAGGGAGCTTGACTGAGGAACCTGCTGGTGGGTGACTGGGACCCGCCCAAGCTCCTCCATCCAGACCCCCTCCCAGACCCTGCAGCCCAATCCCTTGGTTGCCATCACTACCCAAGTCCCTGCACTCCTCCTCCAGGTCAGAATCCTCTCCTGAACCTGTACCCCCTCCCAGACCCAGCACCCCAATCCCCTGTCCTCCCTCCTGCCCCTCCACCCCACATAACCCAAACCCTCTGCCCCAGGTCACAACCCCCTCCTGCACCCTTGATCCCTTACCTTAAGCTCCCATCTGCACCCAATCTCCATCCAAGACCCTACATCTTATCCCTTAATATCATGGAAGAGTGCAGCCCTTCTTGCACAAGAGTCATTCTGCCTGAAAATAAGTGGCAGAACGGCTCTTGCGCAAAAGCCCCTTCCACAAAATGGCAGCTCATTAAGTATGCAAATGAGGCACAGAGATATTCATCGCCACGCCTCATTTGCATATGTTCTTGCACAAGAGAACACAATGTAGATGTAGCCCCTGGGTCTCTGCCAATCTGGCCTGGAGGAAAATTCATTCTCAACAGCAAATTTGGACAAGGCCAGCCAGTCTGGGAAAGAATTCTCTGTTGTAACTCAGGCCTCCTCATCCAGTGTCTCATCAGCAGCTGTTGGAAATATTTGTTGCTAGCCATTGCAGATCTGCGACATGCTATTTTAGGCATTCTTGTCATATCATCCCCTCCATAAATGTACCAACCTCAGTCCTGAAGCCAGTTAGGTTTTTTGCCCCATTGAAAGGCTTTTCCAGAACTTAACCCTAAGCTTGTTGAAGGCCAGTTTATACTTATTTGTTCTTTGTTACCATTTGCACTTAACTTAAATAACTTCTCTCCCTCCCTGGTGTTTATCCCTCTGATGTGTTTACAGAGTGCAATCTCCCTCATCCTTCCTTTGGTAAGACTAAACAAGCCAAACTCTCTCATAAGGGAGTTTTTCCATTCATCAGATCATACCAGGAGCCCTTCTCTACACCTATTCCAGTTTGAATGAATCTCTCTTAGACATGGGAGACCAGAATTGCACACAGTATTCCAAATGAGGTGTGAAAGTGGAAAAAAAAACTGGTTACTTATCTCTCGTAACTGTTGTTCTTCAAGATGTGTTGCTCATCTCTATTACGTGTAGGTGTGTGCGCACAGTGTGCACGGACTGTCGGAGAGTTTTCCCTTAATGGTACCCATTGGGCCAGCAGGGGAGCCCCCTGGAGTGGTGCCGCTATATCAGCACATACATACCCCTGCTGGCCCCCCACCCCCCTCAGCTCCTTCTTGCCAGAATCCTCTGACACTGGGGAGGAGGGTGGGATGTGGAATAGACATGAGCAACACATCTCAAAGAACAACCGTTACAAGGTAAGTAACTCATGTCCATTCCATGCAGGTGACTCCAAAGCCAAACTGTGATGGGACGCCCCCATCCTGCACTGAAGCCCCCTCTG